GTGTTTTTCCTTTCTTGTAGAAGACGGCTGAAGCTGAGGCTGAGGCTGAGGCTGAGGCTGAAGCTGAAGCTGAGGCTGAGGCTGAAGCTGAGGCTGAGGCTGAAGCTGAGGCTGAAGCTGAAGCTGAGGCTGAGGCTGAGGCTGAGGCTGAAGCTGAGGCTGAAGCTGAGGCTGAAGCTGAGGCTGAAGCTGAGGTTGAAGCTGAGGCTGAGGCTGAGGCTGAAGCTGAAGCTGAGGCTGAGGCTGAGGCTGAAGCTGAAGCTGAGGCTGAGGCTGAGGCTGAAGCTGAAGCTGAAGCTGAGGCTGAGGCTGAGGCTGAGGCTGAAGCTGAAGCTGAGGCTGAGGCTGAAGCTGAAGCTGAGGCTGAGGCTGAGGCTGAGGCTGAAGCTGAGGCTGAAGCTGAGGCTGAAGCTGAGGCTGAAGCTGAGGCTGAGGCTGAGGCTGAAGCTGAAGCTGAGGCTGAGGCTGAGGCTGAAGCTGAAGCTGAGGCTGAGGCTGAGGCTGAAGCTGAAGCTGAAGCTGAGGCTGAAGCTGAGGCTGAGGCTGAGGCTGAAGCTGAGGCTGAGGCTGAGGCTGAAGCTGAGGCTGAGGCTGAGGCTGAAGCTGAGGCTGAGGCTGAAGCTGAGGCTGAGGCTGAGGCTGAGGCTGAAGCTGAAGCTGAAGCTGAGGCTGAGGCTGAGGCTGAAGCTGAAGCTGAGGCTGAAGCTGAAGCTGAGGCTGAGGCTGAGGCTGAAGCTGAGGCTGAAGCTGAAGCTGAGGCTGAGGCTGAGGCTGAAGCTGAGGCTGAGGCTGAGGCTGAGGCTGAAGCTGAGGCTGAGGCTGAAGCTGAGGCTGAAGCTGAAGCTGAGGCTGAGGCTGAGGCTGAGGCTGAAGCTGAGGCTGAGGCTGAGGCTGAGGCTGAGGCTGAGGCTGAAGCTGAAGCTGAGGCTGAGGCTGAGGCTGAAGCTGAGGCTGAGGCTGAGGCTGAAGCTGAGGCTGAGGCTGAGGCTGAGGCTGAAGCTGAGGCTGAGGCTGAGGCTGAAGCTGAGGCTGAGGCTGAGGCTGAAGCTGAGGCTGAAGCTGAGGCTGAAGCTGAAGCTGAGGCTGAAGCTGAGGCTGAAGCTGAGGCTGAAGCTGAGGTTGAAGCAGGAACTACTTCAGACAAAAGTACATGTTACAGATGGACAGACTCTCATTATTGTGAGACGTGGATCCTAACAGTGAAGTGCACTTTATGTTCAAACAGGTTCTTTCAACCTCACGCTGTGTTATCATGAGCTACATTTAGGGACAATTTATTTATTCGTGCCATATCACATACTTACATCATGTATTTCCCCTTTACATCAGTATCAGAATCATTTTTATTGCCAACGTAAGTAACGGGAGGTCACAGACTTGGAAATTGCTTTGGCTCAGTGCAACAGTCAGAAAGAGATAATAAAAATAAAAATAAAAAACACTTCTAAAGAATACATTTAAATTTAAAATAGAGTTACAGTTACTATTTACAATATCCAAGTGCACATGGTGCACACAATGTAAGGTGACAGCAGTACAGTGAAGTAAAGTGACGTATGATGGGCAGTAAAGTGACTTTATAAAGGGCGGGGGGACAGGTTAAGAAGTGTTCAAGAGTCCAACAGCAGAGGGGAAGAAACTGTTCTTGTGGCGGGAGGTTCTAGTCCTGATGGACCGCAGCCTCCTGCCTGAGGGGAGTGGTTGGAATAGTCCATGTGCAGGTGAGAGGGGAGTGGTTGGAATAGTCCATGTGCAGGTGAGAGGGGAGTGGTTGGAATAGTCCATGTGCAGGTGAGAGGGGTCGGCTGTGATACGACCAGCCCGGCCTCGAGCTCGGGCGACGTACAGGTCCTGCAGCGATGGAAGGCTGCGGCCGATCACTTCCTCTGCAGAGCGCACAATGCACTGTAGTCTCTGTTTGTCCCTGACTGTGGCTCCAGCGAACCACACGGTGATGGAGGAGGTGATGAAGGAGGTGAAGGAGGAGGTGATGGAGGAGGTGATGGAGGAGGTGAAGGAGGAGGTGATGGAGGAGGTGATGGAGGAGGTGAAGGAGGAGGTGATGGAGGAGGTGATGGAGGAGGTGATGGAGGAGGTGATGGAGGAGGTGATGAGGAGGTGATGGAGGAGGTGATGGAGGTGGTGATGGAGGAGGTGATAGAGGAGGTGATGGAGGAGGTGATGGAGGTGGAGGATGAGGAGGTGATGGAGGAGGTGATGGAGGAGGTGATGGAGGAGGTGATGAGGAGGTGATGGAGGAGGTGATGAGGAGGTGATGGAGGAGGTGATGGAGGAGGTGATGAGGAGGTGATGGAGGAGGTGATGGAGGAGGGTGATGAGGAGGTGATGGAGGAGGTGATGGAGGAGGTGATGGAGGAGGTGATGAGGAGGTGATGGAGGAGGTGATGGAGGAGGTGATGAGGAGGTGATGGAGGAGGTGATGGAGGAGGTGATGGAGGAGGTGATGGAGGAGGTGAGGATGGACTCGATGATGGCCGTGTAGAACTGCAGCTTGGCTTTCCTGAGCTGCCGCAGGAAGTACATCCTCTGCTGGGCCTTCTTGATGAGGGAGCTGATGGTCGGCTCCCACTTGAGGTCCTGGGTGATGGTGGTGCCCAGGAAACGGAAGGACTCCACAGAGGTGATGGGGGAGTCCATCACGGAGGGTGGGGGCGGGGGGACAGTGCTCTTCCTGAAGTCCACAATCATCTCCACTGTCTTCTGGGCGTTCAGCTCCAGGTTGTTACCACTGCACCAGGACACCAGCCGGTCCACCTCCCTCCTGTAGGAGACACCAGGACACCAGCCGGTCCACCTCCCTCCTGTAGGAGACACCAGGACACCAGCCGGTCCACCTCCCTCCTGTAGGAGACACCAGGACACCAGCCGGTCCACCTCCCTCCTGTAGGAGACACCAGGACACCAGCCGGTCCACCTCCCTCCTGTAGGAGACACCAGGACACCAGCCGGTCCACCTCCCTCCTGTAGGAGACACCAGGACACCAGCCGGTCCACCTCCCTCCTGTAGGAGACACCAGGACACCAGCCGGTCCACCTCCCTCCTGTAGGAGACACCAGGACACCAGCCGGTCCACCTCCCTCCTGTAGGAGACACCAGGACACCAGCCGGTCCACCTCCCTCCTGTAGGAGACACCAGGACACCAGCCGGTCCACCTCCCTCCTGTAGGAGACACCAGGACACCAGCCGGTCCACCTCCCTCCTGTAGGAGACACCAGGACACCAGCCGGTCCACCTCCCTCCTGTAGGAGACACCAGGACACCAGCCGGTCCACCTCCCTCCTGTAGGAGACACCAGGACACCAGCCGGTCCATTTCCCTCCTGTAGGAGACACCAGGACACCAGCCGGTCCATTTGCCTCCTGTAGGAGACACCAGGACACCAGCCGGTCCACCTCCCTCCTGTAGGAGACACCAGGACACCAGCCGGTCCACCTCCCTCCTGTAGGAGACACCAGCCGGTCCACCTCCCTCCTGTAGGAGACACCAGGACACCAGCCGGTCCACCTCCCTCCTGTAGGAGACACCAGGACACCAGCCGGTCCACCTCCCTCCTGTAGGAGACACCAGGACACCAGCCGGTCCACCTCCCTCCTGTAGGAGACACCAGGACACCATCCGGTCCACCTCCTCCTGTAGGAGACACCAGGACACCTCCCTCCTGTAGGAGACACCAGGACACCAGCCGGTCCACCTCCTCCTGTAGGAGACACCAGGACACCAGCCGGTCCACCTCCCTCCTGTAGGAGACACCAGGACACCATCCGGTCCACCTCCTCCTGTAGGAGACACCAGGACACCTCCCTCCTGTAGGAGACACCAGGACACCAGCCGGTCCACCTCCCTCCTGTAGGAGACACCAGCCGGTCCACCTCCCTCCTGTAGGAGACACCAGGACACCAGCCGGTCCACCTCCCTCCTGTAGGAGACACCAGGACACCAGCCGGTCCACCTCCCTCCTGTAGGAGACACCAGGACACCATCCGGTCCACCTCCTCCTGTAGGAGACACCAGGACACCTCCCTCCTGTAGGAGACACCAGGACACCAGCCGGTCCACCTCCCTCCTGTAGGAGACACCAGGACACCAGCCGGTCCACCTCCCTCCTGTAGGAGACACCAGGACACCAGCCGGTCCACCTCCCTCCTGTAGGAGACACCAGGACACCTCCCTCCTGTAGGAGACACCAGGACACCAGCCGGTCCACCTCCCTCCTGTAGGAGACACCAGGACACCAGCCGGTCCACCTCCCTCCTGTAGGCGGACTCATCGTTGTTGGAGATGAGTCCAATGAGGGTGGTGTCGTCCGTGAACTTCATCAGCTTCACGGAGTCGTGGCTGGAGGTGCAGTGGTTGGTGTACAGGGAGAAGAGCAGGGGAGAAAGAACACAGCCCTGTGGGGCTCCTGTATTTATAATCCGAGAGTCCGAGACATTCTTCCCCAGACGCACTCGCTGCTTCCTGTCCGTCAGGAAGTCAGTGATCCACCTGCAGGTGGAATCGGGCACGTTGAGCTGGGAGAGCTTGTCCTGGAGCAGGGATGGCAGGATCGTGTTGAAGGCAGAGCTGAAGTCCACGAACAGGACCCTGGCGTAGGTCCCCGGGGAGTCCAGGTGCTGTAGGATGTGGTGGAGGGCCAGGTTAATGGCGTCGTCTACAGATCTGTTGGCTCTGTAGGCGAACTGCAGGGGGTCCAGGAGGGGGGAGGTGAAGGACTTGAGATGGGAGAGGACCAGGCGTTCAAATGACTTCATGACGACAGACGTGAGTGCTACAGGTCTGTAGTCATTGAGTCCTGTGATCCTGGGCTTCTTCGGGACGGGGACAATGATGGAGGATTTGAAGCAGGCCGGGACATGGCAGGACTGCAGAGAGGTGTTGAAAATGTCAGTGAACACAGGAGTAAGCTCACTGGGGCAGTGTCTCAGAGTGGCCGGAGACACGTGGTCCGGGCCAGGAGCTTTGCGGGGGTGCAGCCTCAGGAAGAGTTGTTTAATCTCTTTAGAGGCTATTGTTAGGCTGGGGGCAGGGCTGATGGGTGGGTCGTTAGAGTAGTGGGGGGTGGGGGAGGTGTCAGGGGCAGCATCAAAGCGACTGAAAAATAAGTTCAGTTCGTCAGCTAGCTTGTGGTCGTCAGCACAGGGGGGGGCTTTGGGTTTGTAGTTGGTGATCTCCCATAGGCCCCTCCAGACAGAAGCAGTATCGTTGTTACCAAACTGCTTTACATCTGTGCCACATAAACAAATAGGAACAGAAGGAACCCTGTCCATCACCTGTCACCAATCTGGCATTTTTCCTTCTACTCAATAACAACAAACTTAAATAGTTTCCTTTTCTTCATATTCAGTTATGTTTTTATCCTATTTGCACATTTCAGTCGCGGTGAGCGTTCCATAATCCAACACCAAATACAGACACACACTTTAGTACTGCAGACGGCTCTCTGCTCCTGGTGCAGACGGCTCCTTGGATGGCACTTCTTCACCTGATTACATCTGTGTGTGTGTGTGTGTGTGTATGTGTGTGTGTGTTTGTGTGCATGTGTGTTTGTGTGTTCGCTAATAATATTTATCTATTTTGCTGCTTAAAGAGCGACTAAACACCAGTTACTCCGCCAACATTAACATTTGAATTATCTCCGCAGCAGTGGCAGTCAACTGATGTAATTACAAATTTTAACCACTAGATGTCGCCAGAATACTCCAACCTGGAGTTCCTTGCACCAAATATATCGATCCATAAATCATTCAAATGTTATTCCAGAAGCATTTTTAATACAGAAAATGTGGGACAAAGTGCTTTATAGTAGTTGCTGTCATGTGACCCCTCAACCCGACCTCACAACAGACCCCCCCCCCCCAAAAACTAATATACAATTATTTCCATTGATTTAATTTGCAGTGGTTGAAATAGTTCATCTTTAAATGATGGAGCTGATAGTGTTTCTCCCAGATATATGCATCAAATGTGTGCTATAGAAGAACACCTGCGAGAAAAGAAATGAAAATACATGTTTATACAAGACATTTCTGACAAAGCAAACCCATTTTAATTACACATAATTGATAGACCTTCATCCAGTAAATATACATTACACTGAAAACATGATGAAGTGTGACAAATGCAGTAATTACTCTGGAGTTCACTGGATCACAGCGGCGGGTTCAGCACCATGGACAGCTCTGTGTGGCACAGAGACAGTCCAGGTCTGTGGGACCTGTCACTGCATCATCATCATCATCATCATCATCATCATCATCATCATCATCATCATCGGCCACAGTCGCTTCATCACTGCCAAAAGTGCAAACACTGGAGTTTTACAGAGTGAGTTTATGGCTGATCCATCCATCCATTTTCACCACTTTGTCCAGAGGGGCAGCAGTCTGAGCAGAGATGCCCGGGATTCGAATCTAGAACCTTCTTGCTGAAATTTACATTATTTACATTTTTCCTTTTAAATAATGAGTTTATAATTTCACTTTGAAACAGAGCAGGGAAAATGGTTTGAACTAAGCAGATTCTGCAAACATCACCCAGAGGATCGGACGCAGCTCACCAGAGGTGTGTGTGTGTGTGTGTGTGTGTGTGTGTGTGTGTGTGTGTGTGTGTGTGTGTGTGTGTGTGTGTGTGTCTATACATTTAAGGTAGTTGTTAGGCTAGATCTCAGAAGATTGGGTGCAACTCGCAGAGAGAGAGGCAGAGACTGGATATTTGCGTTTAGATAGCTGGTTTGTATTTACATTAATGTGTATGGACAAGACAGACAAAACATGTAGACAAGTGTTAAAATGAATGGCCATTCAGTGCAAATATACAATAATAAATCCCAGGTGTTATGTACAGTGTAACCATAGAAGTCAATATTTAACAATAGTTCAAGATAATTCAACCGCACAGATTGAATGAATGCATAGTTCAGTTCATATAGGGACACGGCCCTTTGATTGTGAGAGCGCGGCTCAGTTCGTTCGCACAGATGTAGTGGCAAAGTTTATACGGCCCAAAAGTTTTGAAGATAATCCAGAGGAAGGATGTGGATGGAAGGGAATGAATACGATTGGTTGAAGGCCGTAGAATAAAGTGCGAGTAGTGCAATCGAGTGTGAGGGGTGGCTGCGAGAGCCTCCTACCAGCCCGGACAGAGCAGTAGGTGGGGTCCTCGAAGGAATCTCCCGGTGAGTCGTTTCTCTAGGCTAAAAGCCTGTTCCTTAGCTCGCCATCATTCAAATGTGGCCGACTCCACTTTCTAAAACACGCAAGGCTCAATCGGACAACGATCCGGCGCTGGTGATCGGCTCTCTGCAGCAAACAAACACGGCTTCCCCTCGCGTCTGCGCCGCTTCCAGGTTCACGCATATAAACAACACTGATTGGGTGGCTGCGGTCACATGACCACTCGCTCAGCAGCCAAAGAGTAACAATGGCCCAAGAGCATATGCCAAGTCAAACAGGTGGGCTTTTGACACCAGTGTTACACTTCCCTATCCACACACACTTCCTCCAGCTCGTCCGACCCCAAGGCGTTCCCAGGCCAGCTGAGAGACATAGTCCCTCTGTGTCCTGGGTCTTCCCCGGGGCCTCCTCCCGGTGGGACGTGCCCGGAACACCTCCCCAGGGAGGCGTCCAGGAGGCATTTGAAGGCATTTGAAGATTGACCGATAAATCGAGAGCTTTGCCTTTCGGCTCA